GCTAAAGTCACAAATTTCCCCCCCTCGACGTCAAATTGTTGGTCGTGCGAGCAACGAGTGCCTCGATTTTATTCGTTTCTCGTTCTGTAAATCTCGATGGACAACGATAGAACGCTTTAGCAAGCGTTAGCCCGAATGGTCCAGCATGGGAATCAGTGCCAAACGCCATAAATCGTCCGACTTTGCAAAATCGTAAACGCCATTCGTTTTTTGCCCCTTTCGGAAACGTCACGTTTAATTCCTTCGTTGTGTGCTGAATTTAACATTAGGGGAGGGGGAGGGGGAGGGGGATGTGTTCTGGATCTGGAATGCGATGGGAATGACACGCGAGTTTTCGTAAATTCGCCGAGTCATTAAGGTTATCAGGTTGGAATGGAAGAACCTCTGCTGAGGTTTGTTCTTCGAGGTTGACAAAAGCTAATTTCAACAACCTTGTTTTTTTTTTTTGTTTTATTTTTGGCCAGATAATTAATCACGTTCTTTAGTTTCTCCTTTTTCGAAGGTCAGAAATTTGTTTGAAAATTATACAAACGAAGGGATGCTGCGCTACGTAATTTTGCTAACTTTAATACTTTTATTTCATTCCAGAGTAAAGTAAAAGTATTGAGAAGAACGTGTAAAAATGCATTCAGTTCGTAAATCTGACTTCACAGCGAAAGAAATCGAGCGGAACCTCGAAAGGGCAAATCTTGGTAAGGCTGCCTTCGACGTCCTTGGTTTTTAATCACGATCCAGGGCAAGGTTGGTGTCGCGAAGAAGAGGAAGGACTCGATTTTCAAGAGAGTTGCAAGTCGGACAAGAGGTGTGCAACTGGAACTTATTTATTTAATCGCATGTGCCAGATGATCGTGTTAGGGAGTCACATTCAGCGGAGTGTTTTTCAACGATCGACGATATAACTATTACTTGGAACAAGCCCTTCGATCCAACAGAATCGTATGGTTATATAGCTATTTGTAGAGCAAAGTTCTTCTCTTATACTCCTTTCTCCATTAATTTCATAATCTTCGATAATAATTGCATAATTATGTAACAACAGGTATCGTGCTTTGCTCTGCAAATAATTGCACGTTGATGTCGAACGGTTCAAACGAATCGTTCATTCGATCGAGAGTGGTTGCAGTTTCATAGGGTTTCTCGCTGATAATTATTATCATTAACTCTTCGTTTGATAAATAAACTCAACACTAACCGTCGTAAAGGAGAGAGTGAAAAGAGAGAAATGGCTGTTCAAACGAAGAGTTGAACGAAAAGCGAAGATCGAGCCGCACTCACAAGTCGAACTGGTCGACTCAATTCTCTAGAATGTTTCAATTTTTAGTTTTGTCGATAACAAACTAAATAACAATAAAAATATGATTCTGTATCGTTGAATTTTTGTGAAAATCGACCGAGTTGACGAGCTTGATTTCTATGTGCGAGATCTTGGCGAAGCGCGAACGATTATTTATTTATCCGCGCTCGTTCCGCGAACGTGTACCGTCTAATGAAAATGTATTTATCGCACGGCCGAACGTGATGGAGTCTTCTTGCCTTTGGTAGCTTCGTGTCGCCATACGTCGTGCAAACTTCTCTCGTGACGCTTTTACTTTACAGGTACAGCGTACGTCCTCTTACTTACGTAAGTCTTTAAATATCATCGGCTCCAGCTTGCAGAATATTCAACGAGAGTATTTTCTCTTTCAATTATTTATCTTTTCTTTTTCTATTTTAATCTTTCTACTATAAACATTAAATTTAAATTAATTTTTTGAATTTCGGTTTCTGCAGAATGTGCAATAACATCGTGATAAGTTTTCTAATTATAAATATTTTAATCGAAAGGCTTTTCGAAAAGTACTGAGGACGTTTCTTTAAAAAAAAAAAAAAAAAAAAAAAAAAAA